CCGCTGGGGGAGACAATAACGTGGGTTCTTTAGGTATCTTTCCGGCCAATTTGAAGCAGTTTCACTTTTTGGCCCAAATTGAACCCCCCCCCCCCCAAAAAAAAAGGGGGATAACCTTACTTTTTTTCTTTTAATGAATTCCGCCCCCCAAAAAATTAGTTTTCTCCAAACTATGCAGAAATTCTTGTATCACTCAAATAACATTCAAACACTAAATATTTTAACGATTTTGGGCAAAAATCCTTTTTTACTGATTATACCGCAAACGTTTGTCAAATATCCCTTTTTAGCAGCTTATCTGTCTAGAAATCGAATTGGATCTCCGTCTGGCAACTTTGAATTCCGAATGTGAATAAACCAAAACAAAACAACCAAATAGCTAAATAATAGGATGCTGTGCGTGTTTATGGTGTAAATCGAGAACACACGAGCATCATCGATGAATCGAGGACAGACTCGAGGACAAAACGTGGAAAACGTGTACGAAACCATTGACTAGATCTGTTGCGGGAAAAAGTTCAAGTATAAACAAAGGAAAAGGAAACAGGAACAATAGAACATCTTCCATTTACACCATGTACAAACGTGTCTGATTGTGTTCTATTTTATTGCTGTATACATTCTCGCATTTTACACATGTTCGAAGCAAATTTATAAAAATCCGTGCCTCCGACATTGCTAAAGCTCTATTTACAAAAGTGAATAATACCCAAGTCCTCACATTCTACTATTTTTTGTTTTCCAACTGCATATGTCGCATTGCATTAGTTAACCAGGGTTAATTTAAAGATAATTTCTAGTCACGTTTTTTGTATAATAATACTGATTTTGTTCCTATAAAGGCCATAACAATTCAAGTATCATCTTTGTTACACATCTTTAAAAGCTTTGCTTCTTCTTTCAACTTACACTGAATTCTTGAACTAGATTGCTATATTCTGGTTAACACAATAATTTTCGATGTTGTATACATTTCCTTTTTTTATGAAGTTTGAATACAAGTTAATACCAAAGTAATGACTCTCAACAGTATAATTATGAACTCACAGTCTTTTTTTTATGAAAACATTTGTTCGATTGTTGACCGAATTTTTGTTGTAACTTCCACATGGTAATAGATAATAAGGCGACTACAAAATACTTCAGTCTTTGTAAATAAGCGACTCGATCAAAGTTAGTTAATATTGTACAAGTACGATTAGGCCTTAACCTTTTTTCTTAAAGTTGCTAAATGAAAGCTGATCTCGCAAACAACAAAACTGTGTGTTAATTTGAATTTGTTGTTAGGTTTTTCAAATAAACCTGTGATATAACAAACAAACGCTGTGGCATAATACATATTGCTGGCTCAGATTGATAGCTGGTTATGTTTTTGCCTCTTTACAAAAAGTTGCTGATCCAAATGCTATTTTAGTGTGCTTTGTAACTTCCGTTGCAGATAATGTTGGGATAATATTCTGGTTATTTACAAGTTTTGTTTGGGTGGTTTGATTCTGTCGATCTTGTAGCTTGGATCCTGTCCCTCGAGCCAGTACGTCAGGATTTCGCCTTTGCCCTGAAATAAAAGAAAGGAAAAAGATAAGAGATTGATTAAAACAGTTATCTTATGTTTCCTTTGAAATATGATGGACTTGAGAATTTGCAGTAGTAAAACTAAAGGAAGGGTAGATCATTTGTCATTTTTTTACCATTTGAAGCAACAAAAATGCTCAAATTGAAAGATGGATGCTTAACAACTAGCAATGATGATGGCAGTGCTTAACTTACAACAATGAAGTTAAAGATATGTGAATACTGTGTTTTAAGAGGAAACAATATTCTAGAATCTCAATTTCAATTCAAAAGTCATTTCTGAGACACGTTCTCATCATTTCAGCTGATTGCAGCTATGCCATGTCCCGCAGGAACCGCGCTGAATGATAGTCGTGTCAATGCTTGCGTGCACCCATTCACGGATTCATCCAATTACAAACCAACTGCTAACGGATATTTCCAAAAATGTGCCATTTGACATTTATTTGAAAATGGCCTTCTTTTATTGTGTTCAACCAGCTGTACTAATGGTTGCTTTTCTATTTTTATTGTAATATTCCTACTTGGGCCTCGATCCTAACTTTGCGGCTGGACTCTGATGTTCTATAAATAAGTGGCTATTTTTATGTTCAAGATTTAACAAAAAGCCAAGCCACCTTACCTCTACCATGTGCTATTTTTTTCTACTACAACCGGTAACAGTCACTTCAATAGTACGCAGGCGTGAAACGTATGAGGTGCCATGTGTAAATAAATTATTTAACAAAACTATTTATAAATAATTCATTATTTATTATGTTTTTTTTTTCCGGACAATTATATATAAATAAATAACATGTTCAAAAAATATATATAAATAAAAAAGGTTGCAAATAAATTATATATCAATAAAAGAAGTGTGCATAGAATTATATATAAATAATAAGGTTGCAAATAAATTATATATAAATAATTTCAGTTTGCCCAAAATTATATGTAAATAATTAGGTTGCAAAAAAATATATATATAATTAATGCACTGGCAAATAAATTTATTTACATATAATTCAAACTGGCAAACAATTATTTACATATAATTGTCCAGAAAAAAAAGAATTATATAATAAATAATGAATTATTTATAAATAATTTTGTTAAATAATTTATTTACACATGGCGCCTCATAGAAACGTAGGGTATATATTTCCTGATTTGTGGCTTTGTATCACTGGACGCCTTAATACATCCTTGTTTTCAGTTCTGATTTCAACCCTCTTTTTGCCAGTTTCATATCTTTCAAAGTATAAATCGTACGCCTACTTTGCAGTGGCACACCCAAGGGAGGGGGGTGTCCCACGATTTGACCTTGGTGATGTGTATGTGGCCTATTTTCGAGTAGTAATAGGGTGTAAGTGGCGCCACCAACGTCAAAATAGTCCCCCCCCCCCAAAAAAAAAATAACCCAAGTCTTTTTGAAACAAAAAATTGTGAGGCCCCCCCCCCCCCCCCTAAAGTCAAATCCTGGGTGCGACACTGCCTATTTGTTGGCATTTTAACAGTTATACATTGTATATAAATGCATGCAGTTCAATATTACAGTAATATTTGTGTAAAGTTCGTTTTGTGCGTAGACAGAGGTATAGGTTTGAACTGTAACCTTGAACCAATAGCATTTACAGCATTGTTCGCATGTATAGACATGTATTGAACTTGAATAAAGATCATAGTACTGTGTGACAAAAATAGCAACTGGTTTTTCCCGTGTTGAGTAAAGGAAAGGAGTAAAGCTGTTGTTGCACCCAGGGTGACCGTTTAAGCTGATTTTCGGCTAACTTTGACAGAATATTTGTTTTAAAAAAACGAGTTTGACAGAAAATTTGACAGAATGGATTTTTTGGGCAGATTTCTGACAGAATTCTGCAAAGATGGTTATTTGACAGAAAAACAACAAGTTTGAACAAAAAAGTGTATATTTGTTTAAAAAAACCTTCAATCCTTTCAAACAAACCCTTGCATACTGGGGCAGGTTGGCTGGTCTAGGTGCTGAGGCTCACTGGGAAACGGCTTCATTGTGGCAGGATCCACGTCTTGCCTGAAATTTTCCGATATTTTCACAACATCTTTATGTGACTAGATTGTTTATTATGTAATTTGAATCTTGATTAAAGCAATACTACCAATCTGCATGTGATTTTAAGTGTTTATAGTGCATTTTGAGTAATTCTGGGGAATTTGGCAGATTTTTGATAAATCTGACAGATTTTTGATGTGCATTTAGCAGAACTTGGATCTGACCTTATGGTCACCCTGGTGACTCATAGCATGAGGAAGTAGGCCTGGCATGTACACGTACAAACTAAGGCTGTGTTCTTATTCCTCCATGATACAACTAGCAAGTTGATGGTAGTTTTGCCATACTTGTTTTTTTTTACATTTGGTGGAAGTATCATGTTTGTGGTGGAAAACTTTGGCTAACTGTTGATCCAGGTAAATTAGGTGAGTTTGGTGTTTTGGCTGGAATTATGGGCTTTGCCTTTGCTTTTTGTGTGTTTCGCTTTGTTTTTAAACATGTCAAATGTAGCCTATAGGCCTACCAAGAAAATTATGCATGAGATTTGCACGAATGTTTACCATTTCAGTGCATGTGATGCGCGTGTAGGTATGCTTGTTATAAACATGATGCTTTAAAAACATATCGAATTCTCTTTTCGTAATCGAAGTCTGAAATCCGAGTCTATGTCTTTGGTCCTTTTTACATTAAGGCCTAGCATGCCTAGGGGCCTACTCCCATTTTGTTATTTCTGCATAAAGGTATCGGCCATATGGCCGCTATTAATTTGTAACTCCCAATGAGTTAGCATGCAGTCAATTAGTCAGTGTCAATACAAATGTATCCCAGGCTGATGTGCCGTAAAAGAGATGGGTTGGGGCAAAGGGGTGTACACTTATGGGTAGTACAGGAACTGGGTACCCTAGTTGAAAAAATATGGGTACCCATTTGAAAAAAATATGGGTACCCGGGTACCCGTTAAAGAAACCCAAGCCAAAAATTCAAATCTGGGAAGTTGCTGTTCAGATTGTTCATAAAGGTCCACATGATAATACTACCACATCGGTGCGGCAATACGGCTAGATAGGGTGTATACAGTGAGCTCTTTAGCTATGTGGTGAAAACTGCAACTTTCGCAAGCATCATAAAATGTGGAATTGGTTTTGGTTTTCCATGTTTCTTGTTTTTCATTTTGAAATTTTCCCACTGACATTCGAAACACTTCTTTTTCTTTGACTGAGAAGTTATCAAGTAATTTGCAAAGTTGGTTACGGATACTCGATTCCATAATCTGGAACTGGTTCCTGACATTAACAGTCGAGTACTCGCGTACCCGGTTCCGATGCACAGCTCTATGGGGCAATCACTTGTTTGTTATAATTTTGAACTTATTCAGACAGGGAGGTTTGTTCTGTTTTGATTAGGTCACATCTGAAATATGACGGAGGTTGCAGCCAAAATTGTGTGGAAGATCAGCCAGGGGCATCTGGAATGTCCGATCTGTTGCTGTCTTTTCAAAGATCCCAAGATGCTGGACTGTCTGCACAGCTTTTGCCTGAAGTGTCTGGAAGAGATGATGAGCAGACAGAAGCCAGAGGCAGAGAAGATAACATGTCCAGTCTGCAGGAGAGAGACGCAAGTTCCTGATGCAGGATTGCAGAGTCTAGCTTCGTCTTTCTTTCTAAGTTCTCTTGTCGATGAGGTCAAACAACAGGAGGAGGTATTAGGAGAGGCATCAGCACCTACTACCACTTGTGACTGTGGAGAAGGCAAGGAGGCCACTTGGAGGTGTCTTGATTGTAGTGATAACCTCTGCCAGAAATGCCACGAAGCTCATGAGAGGGTCAAGTACACCAAAGACCATCAAATCATTTCATTGGGAGATTGGCAGAAATCAAAGATCCCTCCAGCAGAACATAGCAAGCCCATCACCCGAATGTGTATGATCCACCATGACCATCCGCTGTGTTTCTTCTGTGACACCTGCAACACCTTAATCTGCTCAATGTGTGCCACATTAGATCATCGGTCGGCAGAGCACAATTTGCTAAAGATTGATGACACTATCAGGTCCTTCCGCAGTGAGGTCGACTACATACTGCAGAAGTTCGAGAAATGCAGGCAGCGCTTCAAATCTACTGAAAAATCAATCGAACATGCACGAAAAAGATTACAAAAGAAACTGGCTCAGGCTCGTAGTGCTATTGATGCAAAAGCAAAGGCAGAGATCACTAAAATCAGAAACAAAGCAAAGCTTCTCACCAAAAAGGTAGACAAAATTGGTCAGGAGAGAGACAGTGAGTTCAAAAAGGCGCTCATGCACAACCGTGACCAGATGAAATGGGCAGATCAGATCATCACGGCAGTAAATGACTTGATGAGTCAAGCCGATGATTTTGAGATTTTGGAGCTCAAACCAAAGGTGATGCACAACTTGGAATTCCAGAAGGAGCTAAAGTTTGAACCTGCAAATCATGGTCCATCGTTCATCGGTGTCAGATGTCAAGACGTTGTCAGTGATGCAGAGCTGGGGGAGGTCTGTGTCAGTGAGAAATGGCAGTTAAAGGAAGAGTTCGGCAACGAAGGTACTGGTGACGAGGAATTCAAATTCGCCAGGGCTGTTGCATGTTTCAGCAACGGGGACATCGTAGTAACTGACACAAATTTGAAACGGTTATCGTTGTTTAGCTCCACTGGTCGGTATAAAACATCGGTTGCTAAAGGAGATGTTAAGCATCAGTTGGAAGCTCCTTATGGCATTGCCATGACCCATGATGATCTGCTTTTTGTCACGGACAAAAAGAAAGTGAAGGTTTTTGACACTGAGCTCCACTTTGTTCGTGAGTTTACACCTTCGGCTAACGATGCCGATGGGCAATCAGAGAGTTACCTCACTGCAGTTGCTGTTGACAGTCAACGAGTAGCAGTCGCTGACTGGGGGAGAAAGGTCATCAGTGTCCACAACTTGGACGGATCGTTGATTTCAAGCAGCTCAAATAACATGGTTGACTATGACTTGGCAATAAGCAATTTCGGCTGTTTAGTCTTTGCAAACTTCGAGGGCCAAAGTTTGCTGTGCGTTAACTTTAAAGGTAAAGAGATGTTCAGTGTGAAGACACTCATGAATGGCAAAGCTGCTAAGGCAAATGGTGTCCTGTGTGATGATGATGAGACCATCTATGTTCTTGTTCATTCTGGAAATAGGGGAAGCTCTGCAGTGCAGCGTTACGATTCAAATGGTGCATTCCTAGCAACAGTAGCTCAAGGGTTGTACAATCCGTTAGGAATGGCATTCACTCCCACTGGAGACGTAGTTGTTGCTGACCGACACTCCATTAAGATCTTTGAGCGGATGTGATTTGCCTGATTATGGCCCCTCCAAAAAGCTAACCGCTGTACATGAACTGGGGCTAACCTGCATCCAATGATTTGCCTTACACATTACAATTAGTATGCACAGGCTAGGCGACAAAGTTTAATGAGCTATGATATCATTACTTCATTTACATACAGCCAATTACAGGGCCCAGTGGTTTGGGAAGTAATGAGTAATCATCAAGCGATCACATGGTGACCTAATTTAACCGCATGCATACACAGTAAACAAATGACGATTAGCCAATCAGCATGCAGTACCCAGTGTGAAGAGCTAGCTAGCGGCGAGTTGCACTTGCGAGCACACACAAAAGCCAAAATTGGGTCAATGGTCGATTATACAGTCGATCAACCCTTCAGATTGATTAATGGTTTATGAATATGGCATATGTCAATTTCATTCAAATTTGGTTTTAATGTTCACTAGAGTTGACGGCAACTAGCTGTGCAGTTACTTTAATAATAAACTTTGTGAGTAACGGACAAATAGACCACTCCGTAGGCAATCTGGTGGAGCGACTCGTCCACCTCAAAAGCATGTATTGTTAATGGATGTGTGACAGAGTCAGTGAGCCGAAGTGCGAAAGTTGTAGGTTTCTGAATTTGATGGGTATACCTACATAAAATGTTTCCACAAGCATAAATATTTGGTTTCTACAGCAAGCAGACAAACTAAATTTACATTGGGTACAGTTACTATGTTCAGTACCCGTTTCTTTTAGGAGTTATGTTTTCAGTAAGTCGAGGGTGTATGCATTAGCCTATACCCATCTGTGTGTGAGTACAGCGCGTATTTCAATGCTGGTCGTTTGTATGGAGGATGGCAATTTACTTGTTGTAATGAAGGCCCCGCAGAACATGACATGTTGTAGTTGAACCAGGGCTATATAGAGCTGCTACATTCCTGAAATTATAATATTTACCCAGATTGTAAAACCCGTTCAAAATTGGATTAACTGGTAACGTTGGTGTGTTATCAGTTAATCTCCCTCATTGCATTTCGGCATGTGCGTTGGCCCCATAGAGCTATATTAATTACTAGAGCTCTAACTCGTCATTCTGCACGCGGTAACGCTTTGAAGCCATCCTGGGCGCAGACATTTTGAATTCATGTGCGTGTTTGTAGAACATAATGAAATTAGATAGATTGGATTTTGTAAGTGTACTCTAAAAAATGCAACAGGCAAGTAGAACATACGGAAACAACTTAAGCACATCATTACAGTTAAAAAAAATGTCACGGCAAAAAGCATCTGTAGCGAATACGCGCAGGCGTTGCACTGTTTGCGCAGAGCAAAATGACAATGCTCATTTGCTGATCGTGCGTGTCGGATTTGGGCATATTGGCTTCGATAACGCACCTGTAGGGAATACAAACGCAGATATATGCAAATAGCCGTACAAAAGCCGTACAAAATTTCTAGGTCTCCATAGGTTTTTGCACAAACATAGATGCGCCCAGCAGGCATTACTTTGTACACGTAGTTAGCGCTCTAGTAATTTAATATAGCTCTGTGGTTGGCCTACACAACGTTGGGCCAAAAAAAAAGTCTCCGGTTTCTGGTATGCGCGCGCGTCGTCGTAGCCATGTGCGTCGGCAAAATGAAAAAGTTTTTTTTTCAATGAAAGATGAAGTCTCAAAACCGCCAAACTCACTGGTTTGACTGGAATCCTGCTGCTGCACAATTTTAACGTGTTTTTAGATGGGGTTTTGATCGAGAATAAGCTTTATGTGGCCTCTCTGATCTCCCCTAATATTTGCACTAAGTTTAGTCGGGCACCATTTGCAGTCATCAGCCGACATTTGAAGCAAAAAAACACAGGTAAAAAAAAAAAAAAAGCCGCGTCGCCGCACCACTTTTTGGGCAAGCTCCACACCAGAAACCGGAGACTTTTTTTTTGGCCTCATGGGGAATTTTTTTATTGTTAGGCAAATTAGGACCGAGTTATGGGGACTTTCTGCTGTCCCCACAGCGTTTTTGGTCCCCACAAATGTGTTAGTAGCTATGGTGTACTCTCCAGTAAGTAAGTCAGAAAGAGAAATCGTGGAAGAAATCGTGGATAAAAATCGTGGATAAAAAGTTGAGAAAAAGAAAAGGGTTGAATGTTTCTTGAAAAAAACAGTATTAACTGTTTTTGCTAAAAATCTATTTTAAGATTAAAGGGACCGTAACTTCTTAAAATTCGGCATTCAATTCACAAAATTTAATTTACTACTGTAACGTTGTAAATATGGTCATCACTGTACGTTATGTTATAATAATAAAAAAAAGTCCATAAGTTTTATATTAGGTAATATCAAATGTCTTAAATCTTAATGAAGCAAATTTTCATTTTGTAAAAGTACACTGTATATGAAACACAATGGCACGTGACTATATAAATATTCACTTCAAAGCTTTGCACATTTTGCATGTTTTGTTAATTCCTTGGATCACAAAACTGTCGACCTATCACACAAATCATTTGTGCAATGTCCATTTTCAGCTTCCGTAGTAAACACGGACAGACTGCCTCATTGAACTCTAAACTTGAATCAATAGCGTTTGTGTTGTTGGTACTTGAATAGTGTACATGACGTTGGCTTATAGCCTACATAACGATATGTACATAAAAGTGTACATGTACGTACCGGTCGTGTAAAGTGAGATTAGAATAGCAACTGGTTTTTCCCATGATGAGTTATTGCCATTACTATCTTTAAACCAAGTATGCATAAAACATAATTTTGTCAGTTACTTTTTGGATAGCTGCAAATGATCTACTCTTCCTTTAATTACATTTGGCAAGCAAGTTCCTGGTCTTGTTCAGGAGTTTACCTATTACATGTACCTTCATCAGCCGGTCAGTATAGAGTACCAAAGTCTGATGTCAGCTGAATTTGTTCTGATTCACGCGCTGGTTTGTGCGCTGATGTCTCCACACACTTTAGCTATGCGCGAGACCCAGAATACGCGGCACACTTCGGTACTCTATGCTGTTTGAGATATGGTGGACCCAACTCGAGGGCGCTAACCTAGTTAGTCTTGGTAAACTCTTTTGTATTTACCCAAATTTTACCAAGACCGTAAAGCATCCACCTGATGTATCCGTCTTGTCTCATTAAGGCTAATATTGTCTACACATGTTTTTTTGTTAAATCTATATGCAGATTGAAGGTGCTCAATATTAATGGCCCTAAGGTTTCAAAATTTCAAAATTTCATATACGTCATCCCTAGATTCTGTCACTGGCATTCACTATTTTTACTGTCTTGCCACATGCACATGTGGCAGGGCCAAGTTGTACTTTTGGTTTTTCATAGTGTATTAAATAGGAGTGGCCCCCCCCCCTTAGAAAAGAAAATCATTTAAGTCGAAGTTTAGATGTCCCCCCCCCCATTTCTTGGTAGTGTGTCCCCCTGTTTGTTTACTTTAGCAAACATGTTCCTCCTAAATAAGCTGCCACATGTTGGACCCTCTTTTAATTTAGTTCAGCAAACCAGCAGAGAGACAAGTTAAAATTTTAGTCCTTATTTTCCTCCTACCTGGAGAGTGTTTTCTCACTTGGGTTTGTCTGCTTGTCAATTCATTGTGTTTTTATTCATTTTTGTGCTTTTAGAGTCACTTTGCAGTAGTGCTGTGTGGGTTTTTAACCTATTTTTCCCTTGGTTAAATTGTATTTCTATCAATCCATTTTTTATACCTTAGCTTTTCACTTATTGTCCTAAAATGTTATCGAATTGTTTTTTTTCTTCTTGGCAAATTCCTTTTGAGGTTTTTTATTTGTTGTTTGATCCAGATTGAGATTTCTTCTGAAGTATTTGAGAAAAACTGTCTTTTATATTTAATGATTCAAAATTTTTTTGGCATGTGAATTTTTTTTTTAAAAGACTAAATTGAATTTTTGAGAAGTCTCTTTTGTTTCCTTAATTCCTTTTCTTCTTTGTCCCAGTTTCTAAAACTGGTTTTGTTCCCATGCGCTTCAAAGTTAGGTTCAAACATTTCACGAAGGGGTAGTTTGGAAAAGTGAAAGGAAATTTTCAGTTACGTTCATATTGAAATTGATGTATGTTTGCAAGAGATTTGGATTAAATTATTAAGTTTTCTCTCAAAAACAAGCAGAATCTGTGGCTGAGGCGTTATAAAACAAATATTGACTGCTTCAAACTTGTAGTGAAACTAGCCTCCCTCTGTGATCCATGGATCATTCCATCTCCCTGGGTGTCACCTCGGGAATAAAGAACGCTGAATGGATCATCTCATGAGGCTAGTTTTACCACACCAACAGTCATTTGTGCATTTTTCCCATTTGAAGCAACAAAAGTACTCAAATCTAAAGACAGGTGCTTAACAACAAACTTGGTGATGTTTTAGCTCTGTGATTGCTGCGTATTCAGAGGAAACATTATTCTAGGATCTCAATTTCAATTCAAAAACTGCCGGGTCATATTTTGAATTGCACCCAAAATCAGCATCCGAGACAAGTTCTCATTCAGCTGATTGCAGCTATGTGATGTCACACGATAACCCATGAATGATAGCAACCTCGCACGTGTGTGTGTCGTGTCAACGCTTGTGCGCATCACAGATTTGCCAAATTACAAACCAACTACTAGCGGAAATTTCAAGAAATGTGTCATTTGACATATATTTGGAAACAGCCTTCTTATATTGTTTTCTTCACAATGACAGCATGTTATGCCAGAAAGAATAAGTTCACAGGCAGTCCGACCAGCTGTTCTAAGGGTTGCTTTTCTATTTTTATTGTAATATTCCTACTTGGGTCTCGATCATTTGTGGCTGGACTCTGATGTTCTTTAAATAATGGGCTATTCTTGTGGCCAAGATTTAACAAAAAGCCAAGCCACCTTACCCCTACCATCTGCTAGTTTTTCTACTACAACCAATAACAGTCATTCCTATTGTAGGCGTGCATGAAACGTAGGGTATTTTTCCTAATTTTTAGGTTTCTATCCATGGGCGTCACCAGGATTTTTTCTAGAGGGGGGCAAAACATAATTTTCCCCAAAAAACACTTGATCAGTTTTATAGGGGGGCAGAGACATTCCCTCCCCCCAACCAATTAAGTTTTCATCGCTATGACTTCATGCCTCTTTTTTTTTTTTTTGCTTAAGGAGGGGAGGGGGGAAGGCGCCCCCTCGTGACGCCCATGTTTGTATCATGGATACCTTAATACATCTTCGTTTCAGTTCTTATTTTCAACCCTCCTTTTTCCATTTTCATATCTTTCAAAGTATAAAATCGAAGGCCTATTTGTAGGCATTTTTAACAGTTATACATGCAAAAGTAGTTATAAAAATGCATGCAGTGGTGATATTTGTGCAATGTCCATTTTGTGCTTCCGTAGACAGAGTTAGGTTGCCTGTTTGAACTGTGGACTTTAATTTCAATATCATTTGCAGCATTGTTAGTGTGTAGACCTATATTGAACTTGAGTAAAGATCATTATCATAGTGTTGCTATCTTTACAGTACTGTGTGACAAAAATAGCAACTGGTTTTTCCAGTGTTGAGTAAAGGAGTGAATTAACTAGCTGTTGTTGCACCATTCATCGCTTGAAGAGGCCTGACATGTACACGTATAAACCTAGGCTTACAGAACTTTACAACTTGCAAGTTACTTGATGGTAGTTTTGCCATCCTTTTCTTTTTTTACATTTGACGGAAGTTTCACGTTTGTGGTGGGAAACTGTGGCTAACTGTTGATCCAGATAAAGTAGGTGAGTTTTGGCATTTTGGCTAGATTTTACATGGTCTTTGCTTATTGTGTGTTTCGCTTTGTTTTTTTTAACATGTCAAATGTAGCCTATAGGCCTACCAGGAAAATTATGCATAAGATTTGCATCAATGTTTAGCATTTCAGTGCATGTGATGCGCGAGTAGGCATGCTTGTTATAAACATGACGCTTTTAAAAAATATCGAATTCTCTTTTCTGAATTGCAGTCTGAAAATACGAGTCTATGTCTTTTTACTTTTGGGCCTTCTTACTTTTGGGTCCTTTTTACTTTAAGGCCTACTCCCATTATTTTTATTTCTCAGAGTTGTAATGACTCGAGTCATTGACTCGACTCAAGTCCGACTC